ACCCTCTCCAATCTGGGACCCCTCGGGGGATGTCTGACTGCTGGTTTAGGCCCGATCCCATTAAACCAGCAGTCGGACATCCCTCTCACAATCTGGGACTGCTGGCTCCTAACTGCTCACCTGCTTGCCTGCCTGATCGCCCCCTAACGGCTCCCCTGCCGGCCTGACTGCCCCAAACTGCCCTCCCCTGCTGGCCTGATCGCTCCTAACCGCCTCTGCCCCGGCCCCGCCACCGTGGCTTTGTCCAGAAGGACATCCGGAAAGTCTCCCAATCTAATTAGCATATTATCCTTTTATTAGTATAGATTTTTACTGATTTCAGAGAGGAAGGGAGAGGGAGAGAGAGAAATAGAAGCATTCATGATGAGAGAGAATCATGGACCGGCTGCCTCCTGCATGCCCCCTACTGGGGATTGAGCCCGCAACCCCGGCCTGTGCCCTTGACCGGGAATCGAACCCTGACCTCCTGGTTCCTAAGTGGACGCTCAACCACTGAGCCACGCTGGCCGGACAATCATGATTTTTAAAGTTTCCCCAAGGTTCACTTTTGAGCACAGGAGTCAGGAATGCAGTTAGATTTCCAGGTATAACCGTGTGTGAGCTTTCCCGTGAGGTTCTCATTAATTCAGAAGAGTGTTGAGGGGTCCCGTTGGCCAGGAAGTTTGGGAACTGCGGTGCAGGGTGGTGGCAGAGGTGGGAGGAGCTCTCGCCGGCTGCAGGGTGAGCAGGAGGATGGCCTGGCCGGACCCAGTGAGTCCCTGGAGGTGGAGGCACGGTGCCTCCGGGGTTCTGGCTGGCACCCCCGGGCGGGTGTGGCTGGAGTTGAGGTGTGTGGGTGTGTGTGGGTGCATGTGGCTGTGTGTGTGGGTGCGTGTGGGTGCATGTGGGTGTGTGGGTGTGTGTGGGTGCATGTGGCTGTGTGTGTGGGTGCGTGTGGGTGCATGTGGGTGTGTGGGTGTGTGTGGGTGCATGTGGCTGTGTGTGTGGGTGCGTGTGGGTGCATGTGGGTGTGTGGGTGTGTGTGGGTGCATGTGGCTGTGTGTGTGGGTGCGTGTGGGTGCATGTGGGTGTGTGGGTGTGTGTGGGTGCATGTGGCTGTGTGTGTGGGTGCGTGTGGGTGCATGTGGGTGTGTGGGTGTGTGTGGGTGCATGTGGCTGTGTGTGTGGGTGCGTGTGGGTGCATGTGGGTGTGTGGGTGTGTGTGGGTGCATGTGGCTGTGTGTGTGGGTGCGTGTGGGTGCATGTGGGTGTGTGGGTGTGTGTGGGTGCATGTGGCTGTGTGTGTGGGTGCGTGTGGGTGCATGTGGGTGTGTGGGTGTGTGTGGGTGCATGTGGCTGTGTGTGTGGGTGCGTGTGGGTGCATGTGGGTGTGTGGGTGTGTGTGGGTGCATGTGGCTGTGTGTGTGGGTGCGTGTGGGTGCGTGTGGCCGTGTGTGGCAAGCTGTGCACAGCACATGCAGGGCCCGATGATGCCGGGTGGCACCTTGTGTCCCTGTGACAACAGCCACCGGGCCTCCTGCCCCCACGGCATCGAGGCCTCCGCAGGGCACCGTCCGGAAAGGGACCAGGATCGGGGAGCACAGGGCGAGGCCCGGCCGGGGGCTCAGGTGGTTGGCCATCACCCTGTCCACCAGGGTTGCAGGTTCGATTCCCGGTCAGGGCACACCCCTAGTTGGGGTGTGTACCAGAGGAAGCCGTGTGATGTTATGTTTCTGTCTCTCTCCCTTCCTGTCTCTCTAAAATCAATAAAAACACATCCTAGCCCCGGCCAGTGTGGCTCAGTGGTTGAGCGTCGACCTATGAACCAGGAGGGGACGGTTCGATTCCCGGTCGGGGCACAGGCCCGGGTTGCGGGCTCCATCCCCAGTGTGGGGCGTGCAGGAGGCAGCTGGTCCATGATTCTCTCTCATCGTGGATGTTTCTCTCTCTTCCTCTCTGAAATCAATGAAAATATAGGGTGTCCCAAAATTCACGCAAGATTTGAATTTTGTGTGAGCATTAACAACAACAAAAAATAAAAGCCTAATTTTACTTGGTTGATTGAATCAGATTCTAATATCTGTTGCCTTTTGATTTCAATCCCTTCAATTTGATAAGCATCACCAAGTACCAATGATGGCCCAGGAGCAGGGACAAGGAAGACCAATGAAGACCACGGCTTTGCGTCTGTGCCAGCAAAGCCGGGGAGGCCATTGACCCGATGTGCTATTCCATACATAACCCTATACTGTGTACTTTATGAATCAATAAACAATTTACAATTTTTAATTATAAACCTGTGTTTTCTATCAAAATTACTTCTTGCGTGAATTTTGGGACACCCTATATATTTTAAAAAATAAAAAATAAGAATAGGCAGAGGCTGCCAGGCTTCTCAGGGTCTGGCCTCAGGATGCCCAGAACGTCACACCCACAATATTGACAACAATAACACACTAAGGCAATCGCTTGGGTTCATTTTGTTGGGTTGTGTTCTGGTCCCAACGCCTACCCCCACCATGGGGACCAAATGCCCCCCCAGATCCCCCTGGGAAGGAAGGACACCCCCAAACTCACTGTTCACCCTGAGATAGAATAGATTTATTTAGCAAGAGGTAATCAGGAAACGTACATCTTTACAAAAAACGGAAAGTTCTTTTTCTGTGTTTTTTTGTTTTGTAGGAGAGGGGGCGTGTGCGTGTGTGTGCGTGTGCGTGCGTGTTCCCGGCTCGCAGGGACCTGGGACAGCGATCGGTTGGCCGGCGTCGACTTGGCTATGTGACTGCGTTTTCCTCGGCGAGTTTCGGGGCCTGGTGCCCGCTGTCTGTCCGCCTGCCTGTCCGTCTGGTGTGATTCCCAGAGCAAAGGAGGACGGGGTGCCCGGGCGGGTGTTGGTGTCGCGGAGCCTGGGTCTCCCCGGGTGGGTGCTGGGGGGGACCCCCCTGTGTCC